CCTTCCATGAAGATGAATGTAATTTGTATATAAACTTATTCATACCTGTAAAAATGGTATGTGCTTGTATATTCAAGAGTAATTATTATTATTATTAGGTTCCAGCTATTCAGGGCTACCAGCTGACCAATGCTTCATGAACTGCTACCTGAAATGCATAGCGAGTATCGGTTAGGCCTTGGTCCCCTAGATAATAACCAACAGGTTGGTCATTTACTGCTCTTTCTGTTACCTCCGCAACTGAGAAGGTCAAAAGGATTGATTTGTTGTTGGAGGAAATAAGTCTTATTCCATCCTTATACATCGGGAAAACCACCACTCATTTCCAATCAGGTAGCCACCTAACTTCCATAAAGCATGCTCTTATCCGTTAATCTCGGGCGAACCCTGTCGATTCCTAAAGAGATGTTCGGACTTCAGCCTCTCGAAACCAAAATAAGCCTAACATCTCTTTAGTTCGAGTGCCTCGCTGACGCGTGGTTGTCACTCACACTTGACAAGTCATTGTGGAACTACTAATGGAACAGGCAGATCACCCCAGGGTTAGTGTAGTGAACCTCTGAAAAAGTGCTATAGGTGAGCAGTGGGGTATTGTTCCCACTGACAAAAAAGAATGGAAGCTTTTATCGAGTATGTCTTCATTGTTAGGCACTGTGTTGCATAGGACATTGTTATTGACCCGAAAATTTTTAACTCGGCATTCCCACACCATGTTTTACGGTATGACTAGTAGTTTACTTTCTACCCCCATTGTGATGCAATTCGCTGACTGGCTAATCTTACTCTTACTATGCTAGTGTCTCAAATCGCGGACAGGGTCATTTTTCATGTATGTACTTATTCACGTGTTTTGGGATTGATTGGTTATTATCATATTCTTGGAGGATTAAACTCTCCCATCATCCGGCTTCGGTCTTCTCTCTATTCGTCCCGGGGTTGCAGTCAGTGGCTCTTGCGTACTAAGTTAGCGGTCAGTTAGGCGTGCGCATTATATTCGCTCGGGATATATATAACCGCTGGCAACGAAGATATTATGGTGTTGTATTTTACTCGCTTCTATCTCATTTTATTATGCATTTATTTTAGTGTTCCAACTTTCTTGAAGTTAGTAACTCCCCACTGACTTCCAATTGATTGTTTACTCCGTGGGTTCTTTTGAGTATCTGAAACGTGACTTTAGAGGCCACCTTTAAACCTTATGAGGCAAACAATTGCATTCTTTTGTTTTGTGGAAAAATACTTTTCAAGCCAAATACAGAAGCCTAATTGGTTATTTCATCAGTCACTAGGGTGGCCTTTAAAGCCACTCGCCGTGAAAGATAAATCTTTTGTTTTCAACTAAGGAGATCAGAGAATTGTCAATAATCGTCTTTTTATTGATTATGCCCGTCAAAAACTCCCATACGAAATTAAAACTGAGGCCATTTAGAACCTTCTAGATATTGTTTTATTTGTTCTTATTTAGCCCTCCTATGATTTCTCAGTGGTCATTGTTCAGAAGTAGGTGACTTAGACGTAAAAAGGTTGAAGGAATCAAGCACATAAGCACGTGGTTCAAAAGCGTTGTAAATAACTAAGTTGGATACACTGATGATTTGGTTGCTAAGATCGTAATTTAGTCCGAACGACTATAATTAGACTATGAATGGACATCTGCGACATTTCATGCTACGACGGATACTATGTTTAGAGATGATGTTTGGCGAGATTTACCGTTTGAATCCAGTTTACTCCAAACGTAAACCCATTATAAGTGACGTTTCTGCACACGATAGCCGACCACAGATAGCCCAATGATTGAAACTCTTGACGATGTGCATGATAATACTCGGATACAACAATCGCCTCCACAACAAAAGAAACACGATCAAGTCAAACCATCAGGTCCCCAGATTATCTAAAGACATACTCAACTGGGTAGTGCAGGTAGAAATGTGCCGAATATTTTAGACCATCAATTTTTTCGAAGCACCAATTTTACTAAGAAAGCGAAAGTTTTCCTACATTTTATCTTTTCTGTACCGGTTTTTCTTACTATGCAATGATAATTCTTTCAAAAAAAACAGAATTAAGTACCAAACCTATTTTCCATATTTTTTCTTCGCATGTAGCGTATAAATGTTTCCCATCTTCGCAAAACCTTTTCGTGGTATTAAAGACTTTTGGTCATATTCCAGGTGGAACAAGCACTGAACGGAACATAACATCTTAACCGGAACTGGTCACTAGAGTTTCTTAAATGATCTCACACTCAATCCATCCAAATGTCACATGGTTAATTTTAGCTTATAACCTAAACAAGACCTTTGCAAATTGCTTCAGTTTTATGACTCTTGTCTCATAGATAGCTGTGTTGCAGAAAATGTATCAAGCATGATCTGTCTTTGCTTGTAAAGGAGTGTGGTGGTTATGATACTATTACGTAACTTCTGACCAACCCTACTCGAGTACCCGCTTAACCAGTACCTTACCTAACGTGTAAGTACTGAAAATGAAACGCAAATCAAAGGAACTGGTTTCAGAAATATATTCAAAGAAGCAATATATTTCATTAGAATAAGAGTTTTAGGATTTGTCCTGTCACTAAATATTTGGACTTGTTATATACCCACGAATACGAGACCAAGGAAGAACATGATAGCGTAGTCGGATGGAATAGTATATTTGGATAGTTGTGCCAAAATACCGATGCGTTCCAACTAACTGGCTAGACAGTCGAATACGAGCAGTGCAACGTAATACGACAGCGTGCCAAATGGCGAGGATGCTTGACCGGGTGCCTTCAGCTTAGCGAGTCCAGTTAAACTATCAAGGTCAGCATCAATGTCGAAAGTCGTCAAACCCTAGGCTATTGATTTTGGGGAAGTGTGTGACGCTGCAGATCACTCTCCCCCTAGTGGTTTCGTGAGGACCCTAAGACGATACCAGCCGGAAGTAAAAACCCAGTGGTTTCTCCACTGGTAAAACTCTTGCGATGGGCTCACTGCGTGAGGTGGCCCCTGGTTGTCTGAACCTTATTCTAGGGTGTCGTGGTAATTAAATAAATAAAATACAATAAATCGAATTGGACGTCGGTCGCGGTCATCTGTTCCTTTCGACGTTCCGTCCAATGCTCGTTGCGCCTGGAATATAAATAAAAGTCTTTAATACCACGAAAACGTTTCGTAAAAATGGGAATTATTCATATATAAACATATAGAAAAATAAAAATTTACACTTATGCTCACCGTGTTTTTAAGTTTTTATTACATGGTAATAAAAATAGATATGAAAAGGCAAAGTGTACGAGGGTTGTGCATTGCCGGTGAAAAAGAAAAATAGCGCCTCGAAAAAAAACGTATGGTTGGCACACACAGCGCTAAGTTGAATGTGACTGCAGATACTCCGGAAACCTGACGGTTCAACCTGATCGTGTATTTTGTTGCGGCGATGGTTGTTGCAGCTGTGCATTACCAGGCGCATCGTCAAGAATTTCGATAATTGAGTAATCCGTCGGTTGGATGTAGCGAGCTGAAACGTCACTTATAATGAAGTTGCCTTAGAAATAAGCTGGTTTCAAACGGTCGATACTGACAGTATCTTCACGTCCGTCTCGCTCAATTATATAGAATTTCTGGTGTCGCCTAATCACTTTGAGTGGCCCGTCGTAGGGTGGTTCAAGTGGTCGACGAACGGTGTCGTGGCGAACAAACACGTGTGATGTCTTCTGTAAACTGTGGTGAACGAAAACATCAGTCGTTTGCGGTCTAATCGGAGAAGACCTAACTGAACGCATTGCGTTTGTAAGCCTAGTCACGTAAGATGCCCTGTCGGAAACATGTTTGGAAGTTGAAGGGGAAACAAACTCACCTGGTAGGCGAAGAGTGGTCCCTGTAGCGGCCAGAATCCAATAATCTTGGCCTGAACGCGGGAAATAGCTAGGCGGTGCCAACTGACGTGAATCTGACTAGTTCCTGCGTTCTACTGTATAGCTTCCTAACTTCCGCGAGTGACGCACAGTCAAAGGTTGGATCGAAATATCAAAACACGGTTTGTAGTAATTCAATAGTAGATTCGTAACAAAATCTGTGGTACTATCAAAGCAACAATAAGTTATGTCAAATTACAAAAATACCTCAACAGTGCCGTTGGGTAACTATACAGTCCAAAACGTTCTCGGGTACAAATACGTACTACACGGTAAAAACTGGTTAAAAAATACAACTGTTAAATACCTGTCGGTCAATAGGAATATTCCCGGCAAAAGGGATCAAAACTCTGTCTACAGGAATCAAATCAACAAACAAACGTTTCCAGTAGACAGTCAAAAGACAAACAGTCAAATCACTGCACAACCGTAAGTTGAACCAAAACAAAATGTCGTGCGCAGTAAAACAAAATCACCTTATCAACAGTTCAGCGTCACATAATAGGAAAGTGAAACACTCATAATAAGTCTCAAACATACAAAGGCAAATACCGAGTGTAAAGTCAAATAAGACAGTTAAACAAGCAAATAACATTACACCGGCGAGGGTCAAAGGTACACCATCCACAACGAGGGTAAAAATGTTAAAATAAATGTCAATACAATCAAATAAAAGTGATCGGGAGGGATTTTCAGATCATTTTTCCGTTACACCGGCCACCAAAATCCCTCCAGACACGCAAAACACCTCTGTGTATTCAGCCGTGGCTCCATCTACCTAGCTGTCTGCATACTCTATCTTTCTTCTACTCCCTCAAGAAGACAAAGCTTTCTTATATCTCTTCTCACGGTACCTTCCTTCATACGCACCATCACAGTTCTTACTAAATCGTCTTCGTCCTTCTCGCATGTTTCGATCACTCCCAAAGGCCAGGAACCACGTGGTGTTTTTTCAGAGGCCACAATCACCACATCTCCCTCTTTGAAATTTCTTTTCCTTCCCAACCACTTCTGACGAGTTTGCAAGCATGGTAGATATTCTTTCGTCCATCGGCGCCAAAATACGTCAGCTAAGTAATTAACTTGTTTCCATCCTTTCTGCACGCGACAGACCGGTAAGGGGCCATCATCTGCTGACCCAGTGCAGCTTTCAATCGTCGGCACTCTATGCACTTTCTTATCACCCGTTTGACCGCACTGATCCCCTTAATTATCCAATAGTTTCTTCGTAGAGTGGCCAGGACTTGCGAAGTACCAGTATGTCCTTCTATAATATGATAATGCCTTATGATCAGCTCAGTCACGAAGTGATGTCTGGGGAGGATAACCGGATGCTTAAAAGTAAGTGGATAGTCGGAATAGTTCAACCTCCCACCGACGCAGACCAATCCATCCACAAGTATAGGTGACAACCTTTGCAATTCTCCTTCTTCATTCTCACAACTACCCTTTTCTCGGAGTTCCTTTATTAATTCTCCATAACCAGATTCAGAGGCATCGCAAAATAAGTGCAACTCAATCTTACTCATCTCACTCTTATCCTCCTTCTTGATACTTCTGGGTACGGAGATTTGCCCAAGATTCTTCATGAACCTCATCCAATCCATCCATAGGGATAGGTCATTGGAACTAAGGGGTGTATCCCAACCAGCATGAGATTTGCAAAGATTCTGCAATAGCTGCTTGGCCGGAAGACAAACTGGGGCGATGAGGCCTAGTGGGTCAAAAAGAGCTGAGACGGTGGATAGTAGTCCTCTCTTCGTGAAGGGTTTTTCGACGGGTTCAAATCGGAACTTAAAAACATCATGCATGGTGTCCCATTCCAAACCTAGGGCCCTGTGGATTGAGCCTTGACTAACACGTAAGTCGACTGAGTTCTCTGTGTGGCTCAGACCAGGAAGAACTACTCTCACTGCCTCTGAATTAGTCACCCACTTCTTCAATTTAAAGCCACCACGTAACAACAACTCAGTGGACTGTTTTACGAACGTTTTTGCCTCACCTGGGCTTGCAAAGGACACTAGGCAATCATCAACATAAAAGTTATGCTTCACTGCTTCCACCACATAGCTATCATAATCGTTGGCATACGTCTCGCAGTCTTTGGCCATTGCAAAATACGCACAAAACGGTGAGGACACTGCACCGAATGGGTGTGACGTCATTTGATATTCAATAGGTTCCTTCGAGAAATCACCCTGAGGCCACCATAGGAACCGCAGGGCACCTCGGTCAAACTCTGGGACTTTCACCTGCATAAACATTTCTTCCACATCGGACGTCAGGGCAATCAGTTCTTTGCGAAAACGCAATAATATTCCAACCAAGTTCGCTGTCGTGTCTGGTCCCTGATACAGGAAGTCATTTAAAGAAGTTCCGGACAGTTTGGCAGCGCAGTCCAGCACAACTCTTACCTTCCCCGGTTTCTTGGGGTTAAATACGGCATGATGCGGCAAATACCATCGTGGGCGGTAGCTAGGATTAAGCTGGGGCTCAGGAGCTACTGCTGCATATCCCTTTCTGATGGTCTCTTCCATGGCGCTAGTGTAGCTTTCGCGAAGGCTTTCAGAGGATATTAGTCTGGTTTCAAACTCTCCAAACGTCGCCTGGCTACTTCGCATCCACCGTATACTCTCTTGGACTCCATTTTCCAGGGCAAGGGGACAACGAAATGTCCATTATCCCAATAAGTACCTCGCTGCACTATGTTTACAGCGGCTAGGTCATCGACAGATAACGACTTATCTCCCGAGTACAAATCGCTGAACTCATAATCGTAAATTTTCTTCCATTGATCGACTAATAGATCTGACCGAGACATACAATTCACAACCCTCTCCCTGTGCTCACGAAAGCTTGTCGGACCGAACACGACCCAGCCCAACAATGATCTCACAGCATATGGGCTCTTTCTGCCCCCTAACTTCTGATCTAGAACCCAGTGAGCCTCAGGTACATCGCAACCGATGAGCAGCAATACCTCCCCGTCTTCCACCTCTGTCCAGGGTACGTCAGTCAGATGCGGCCACCTTTTAATACTTTCTCGCATCGACCCTTTAGGTCTCCGTACTGGGAGATCTCTTGCCACAACTGCTCGATCTATAAGTATGCATTCGTTTCCGTCTAGTGAATAAACTTCGAAAGGCTTGCTGACTGAGTCCGCCAATCTACTTCCACTAACAGTTTTGATGATAGTCTTTGTGCCGTCAGTCGACAATCCTAGAAGTTGCAAAACATTTTCGTGATCAAAGTTGTATCAGAGCCATTGTCCAAGATAGCATAACCGTAAACCTCTTTATTACCGTGCTTTACACGTACCGGGAGTAGGCCCAAACACACGCTTTCTCTGAGAGACTCGGTGCATCCACAACTACCTTTCTCCGGTTGTTCGCCTACGGCGTGGTGGGTCTTCTTGTGTAACAGAGGGTGATGGTATGCTTTACAACCTTCTACACTGCACACCCTGTGAATTTTACATTCTACGGACCTGTGGCCCCTTTTAAGACATGAAAAACAACAACCTGTTTCTTTAGCCTTCGACCATCTCTCATCCACCGGTAACGACAGAAATGTGGTACATTTTGTGACTACATGGTTCCCTCCACAAAATATACATGAAGGTTTCAGGACTCCCCCAACGGGTACTAGCTGCTGCGTGGAACATGCTATTTTACTATCTGGTCGTCGACTGCTTGTTGCCAGCTGTCCAAACCTACTTAGCAAAATGCTCGCACGTGCTGACACAAACTGCGTTAACTCTGCGAAGGTAGGTTCTCGTTCGGTTTCAGTTAGCTTTTCGACAGTCTCCGCCCATTTCATCTGTAACACACGGGGCAATTTCTTTACTATACCTTCTAAAGTTCTCAAGGAGTTAAGGTCCGCAGTATAGTCCATTTGCTCTAGGGCTATAGCGCAGTTTTCCATTTTTATAGCTAACCTCGACATTGCCTCAGCATCGTTTTGTTCTATGTTCGAGCATTCCATCAGATCCTGTAGTAAGGCCCGGCTGACTTCATGGGTCCTTCCAAACAAACGTTTAGTATATCCCGAGCCCTACGATAACCAGCAGATGGTGGTAACATAATGCACTCCTCTATAGCCTCCCTGGCCTTACCTTTACAGTAATGTAACAAGTATAACAGCCTCTGTCCATCATCATCAACCTTAGAGACAACGTAGAGCTCAAACTGCCTCATAAACTTCCAATATTTGGCTGGATGTCCGTCAAAGCTGCTTAATTCTACTTTCGGTAACTCATGGCCAACACTGACACAAGGCAACGTAGCGGCAACCCCTTTGTTTTCTGCGCTGCTCGCCTGGCTAGTCGTTTCACGATCAGAACTGCTATGAGGGTCAATGCCAAGACAAACTGATTTGTGACACTTTATATCATCATCCAAGGAAAAGGTATCACCTAAACCCCCATTCACATCTAAGTTGAGTTCTTTATGCAGACGCAACCTTTCCTGTCTTTGTTTAGCCTTGAATTCACGAAGTTCCAACTCTTGCCTTTCATCCAACTGTCGTACCTTCAACTGAGCAGAGGTCCTACAAGGACTAGTCTTACTATAGTCAATAACTGTACCATTATCAGAGCCACGGCATGAAATAACATCAAGAGGGACTTGCTTGGTATCTGAGGTCGGATCCATGGACATGTCACCTTCCCCGTCCGGAATTGACTCAAGGAACACCTTGCGATTGCCAGGTACAGCAGTGACGGGTTGTTGAGTACTGTAGCGGCCAGAATCCAATAATCTTGGCCTGAACGCGGGAAATAGCTAGGCGGTGCCAACTGACGTGAATCTGACTAGTTCCTGCGTTCTACTGTATAGCTTCCTAACTTCCGCGAGTGACGCACAGTCAAAGGTTGGATCGAAATATCAAAACACGGTTTGTAGTAATTCAATAGTAGATTCGTAACAAAATCTGTGGTACTATCAAAGCAACAATAAGTTATGTCAAATTACAAAAATACCTCAACAGTGCCGTTGGGTAACTATACAGTCCAAAACGTTCTCGGGTACAAATACGTACTACACGGTAAAAACTGGTTAAAAAATACAACTGTTAAATACCTGTCGGTCAATAGGAATATTCCCGGCAAAAGGGATCAAAACTCTGCCTACAGGAATCAAATCAACAAACAAACGTTTCCAGTAGACAGTCAAAAGACAAACAGTCAAATCACTGCACAACCGTAAGTTGAACCAAAACAAAATGTCGTGCGCAGTAAAACAACATCACCTTATCAACAGTCCAGCGTCACATAATAGGAAAGTGAAACACTCATAATAAGTCTCAAACATACAAAGGCAAATACCGAGTGTAAAGTCAAATAAGACAGTTAAACAAGCAAATAACATTACACCGGCGAGGGTCAAAGGTACACCATCCACAACGAGGGTAAAAATGTTAAAATAAATGTCAATACAATCAAATAAAAGTGATCGGGAGGGATTTTCAGATCATTTTTCCGTTATAGTCCCATAGACGAGTTCTGCAGAAGTGCATCCAGCATCAACTTTCAACGCGTTACGAATACCTAGTAGGACTAGAGGCAGAGCCTCGGTCCACTGAGGTATGTTTGCAGCTGAAAGGGAAGCTTTCAGCTGTCGATGGAAACGCTCTACCATGCCATTTGCTTGTGGATGGTAGGCTGTCGTTCGGAACCGAGTGCAACCTAAAAGTGCCGTTAGAGCGTGAAATAATCCACACTCAAATTGGCGCCCACGGTCGGTTGTGACGTAAGATGGACATCCGAAGTTCGCGATCCATCTTTCGACGAAAACACGAGCAACTGTTTCGGCAGTAATATCTTTAATGGGTACTGCTTCCGGCCATCGTGTGAAACGATCAACACAGTGAAAAGGTAGGTACATCCATTAGATTCTGGTAGGGGTCCTACAATATCTATATGGACGTGGTCGAAACGCATGTCTGGGGCTAGAAATGAGCCTAAAGGGCTTTTCGTGTGTCGCGTGACTTTACACTTTTGACAAGCTAAGCACGACTGGGCCCACTCCTTAACGTCTTTGTTCATCCCAGGCCAGCAGAAACGTTGTGCGATAAGCCTAATGGTGGCTCGTACACCTGGATGAGAGAGTTTGTGCAACGTATTGAAGACGTTGCGTCGACAACTCTTCGGAACTATTGGGCGTGGTTGACTAGCAGAGACATCGCACAAAATTGTATCCTTGTCTGATCCAACAGGACAAAGTCGCAGTTTGAGAGTTGTGGACGACAACTCATGATGCAGCTCAAGGTCTTCCTTTTGACGCCGAGCTAGTTCAACGAGATCAATACCCTCGATATAGTTTATCGAAGCTATTCGAGATAGTGCGTCGGCTGCGGAGTTGTTTGCTCCAGAAATGTGGCGGATGTCTGACGTGAACTGGGAAATGTAATCCAGCTGTCGCGACTCACGAGGGGAGTATTTGTCAGACGCCGAGCTGAGGGAAAACGTTAACGGTTTGTGGTCTGTGAAAATAATGAAATCACGACCTTCCACAGAATGTCGAAAATGGCGTACAGAACAGTACATGGCTAGGAGTTCCCTACCAAATGTACTGTATCTTGTTTCCGCGTCTTGCAGCCGCCTCGAGAAAAAGGCTAACGGTTGCCACTGGTTGTCAGTCAACTGTTGCAAAACTGCTCCAATTGCTGAATCAGATGCATCAACAGCAATACTCAGAGGAGCATTGGGGTCATGATGCATAAGCATGGTTGCGTTCGAAATGGCTTCCTTGACTTTAGAGAAAGCAAGTCTAGCCGCGTTGTCCAGAGACACGAACTTCGCAGTTCCTCGAAGTAGATCTGTTAGTGGTCTCATGACAGAGGCACAGTTAGGGATAAACCTTCGGTAATAACTTACCAGGCCAT